AGGAGCTCCTACTAGCGTCCTTGCTCCTAGTAGTAAGGCCAGGAGCCTTGGGTCTAGATTATAAGATATCTTAAATTCTACAGCCTTTGCCTCCTGTTCCGTGAAAGGTCAGCGACACTGATCCATTGTTCTTTTGAACCCTTGTGTACGTAAAGAAAAAGACAAAGGGTGTTTCTTGACACCCTGAAACCAGCTTTCTGCCCTCCCACGAACAAGATCCATCACCTTTCATCACCTTCCTACCGTCCACCTTGCTACTACGTCTCTTTGTTCCCCGGCGCTCCGCTCCTTTGAGGATCTTGATCAACGCGCTGGGCTCCATGGCGAAAGCCTGGAACTTCGAAGGCGAGCGACGCCTCCGAGGGGCCAACATCGCACCTCGGCTCGAAGCACCGTGGTGGACCCGAGCGAGAGAGAGAGAGTCCCCGGAACTCGTAGCGAACCTTGTTCCGTTCGTAGCGATGCCAGGAGCCCCGACCTCGTAGCGTCCGTTCGCAGGGTTTCGATAGGGAACAAGGAACAATCACATTGCGTGTCGAAAGCGATCCAAGAGTAGAAAGACATAATTAGGACATATGCTACTAGGAACAAGGACGCTACGAACGGGGCTCCTGGCCGTGCTACTAGGAACAAGAACGCTATTAGGACATATGCGGGATACGATCGTTGGTTTCTGAGGACTACACCATCGTCCGTCCTGGCTTTATGGGCGATGTGGATGCTACTCTGGACGAAGACAAAGCTTTGGCGTTGGCAGACAATGGCGGTGATCTCAAGGTCACTGCTATACCACACAGATCTGTGGCCGAATCTCAGCTGAATTGGACACTTTGCTGGGTGAAATTTCAGAGTCCTCTCATTGAAGAATGTTCATGTAGTTCCCCAGATAGCGAGAGCTATAGAGTCTATAGAGGTTCATACTTCAAGTGCGGGAAGAGGTGCCTGTGTGCGGAGCCTGGGTGCTGGTGCCCCTGCTGGGTGTGTATGGCAGTGTGCGTTTTTGGAGCGTGCTGGTGCTGCACGCGTCCTGGCCAAGCTCGACAAAGGAACAGAGGAGTGCGGCGCAAAGTATCAGAATTCAGCGTGCACAGATGTGCACAGCGAGCGTTGCGGTATCTTCACAATTCACCCTGCATTTGCAACAGGGCTACCATGGGCTACCCTGCACCTGTTGCAATATCCCACACATGAACCTGTCCTCATCTCCTTTGACCCCTGCTAGAAGCACGAAGTGACGCTGGTGGGCGCCGCTCGCGGGTGGCGTGATATCTATGGCCGTGTGCGCTATTGTAGCTTGGATTGCTGGTGCTGCAAGGTGCGCCTGGGGGGGTGCCGCTGCCAGATGTCTTTGGGTGGGCGCTGCTGCCCACAGAGTATGTCTTGCAACTTGCTATTTGAGGTGTATGTTGGCGTAATTTGTCTTGATCCAACCAAATGTGAAGGATAAAGTCGAGTTCCGCAACTGCGCAGGATTCCGCAACTAGGATTCCGCAACTGTTTGGTCGGATTCCGCAACTGGGATTCCACAACTGGGATTCCGAAACTAGGATTCCGCAATTAGGATTCCGCAACTAGAATTCCGCAACTAGGATTCCGCAACTAGGATTCCAAAACTAGGATTCCGCAACTGTCAAGATTCCGCAACTAGGATTCCGCAACTAGGATTCTGCAACTGGGATTCCGCAACTGGCGTTCCGCAACTAGGATTCCGCAACATTGTGGACTCCCTCACTAGGATTCCGCAACTTTGTGAATGATGAGGGATGTCGAGATCGCACGATGAAAACAAGGGGGGGTTGGGGGGTGGGGGGTGTTGGGTGGGGGGCTAATGACGTTGGTTTGGATGTGCTTCGAAGGTGATGTCACAGGCACACACGCTATCGCATGATGTGGAGATCACCAGTTGCAAGTTTCAGAAGGCAAGTTGCAGAATCTGACTTTCCAGTTTCAGAATACCAGTTGCAGAATCTGACTTTCCAGTTTCAGAATACAAGTTTCAGAATCCCAGTTTCAGAATCCTAGTTTCAGAACCCCAGTTTCAGAATCCTAGTTTCAGAACCCCAGTTTCAGAATTCCAGTTTCAGAATCCTAGTTTCAGAACCCTAGTTTCAGAACCCCAGTTTCAGAACCCTAGTTTCAGAATCCGACCGATTAGTTTCCGAATCCGGCTCTAACCCAAATGTGAATGGGGATAAGCAAAGCACTCCATTCAAGCGTCGTCGATACAAAGAGATTGTAGATTCGAGGAATCGAGTATTGCCGAGAATCCAACCTGGCAGCCCACTCCTTTTCAGCCAAGGAGCTTTGCGTGCGCAGTCTTGCGTACCCACAGGCGAAACGGGCCACCCTGGTGGCCATGACAGTTCCAGGGCCTGGGGCGAGGACTGTGTGACAGGGTGGAGGCCATCGCTACTAAGGGTGGAAAAGAGAGGAAAAGAAGAGACACAGGAGGCCATCGCTATTACACTGTGCTCCACGAAAAGGGTTTGAAAGGGTTCCACTCTTTTGGAGACCTTTGTGACCCGCGCAGACCGTGCAGCGAAGGACGTGGGACCCTCTCTTGGAAAAGGTGCGGCCAGACCGTCGGAGCTTCCCAGGCGATGGATGGAGATGGAATGGGCTGATGGGCGCAGTATGGCACAATGAAGCAGTAATGAGGATTTAGTAAGGCCTTGGAGAAAACACCTGTGATTGAAATCCATGCATTCCAAGCATTGTCATGCAAGATGTTCAATCCCCACCTACAGCCTCCGCAACCTTTTGGGAAACACCACCGAATATCTCTTGATACTAGTAGTAACAAGTGCATCGCTAGTAGTAACAAGTGCCTTACTAGTAGTAACAAGAAGCTAGTAGGAACAAGTGCATCGCTACTAGTAACAAGTGCCTTACTAGTAGTAACAAGAAGCTAGTAGAAACAATATGCCAATATCAGAAAAGACGGCCTCCAACCATGTCAAGGCCCGGAGCTCTTGGACGAGCACTACTTGGCCGTCCGCCTCTTCGGCGCGGTGGCATCTGGCCTCGCGGCCGCGGCGGCGGCCATCGCCAACGGCACTTAAAGGTGAACGACGTGCCACTGCGGAGTGAAAAAAGGAAAGGGCACGCCGTTAAGGCCTGTCCAGACTGTCCACAGAGTCCAGAGGTGAGGGCACTGAAGCCCGTATTTTTCTAGGCAGGATGCACACAGTTACCCTGCAGCAGCTCTCGAAGCGTCAGCAATCCTTATTTAATCTTATTTGCGGTCTCACAAACTATCTGAGCCCACTCGTTCAACTGCTTGCAACCCCTTTGTCGTCGATGGGCAAGGTCCCAGATGTGTTTCAGAGTCTAACAGACAGAACTACCCCACAGATATGTCAGACTACTCCATCACCTGACGGTAGTGGAGCTCTGTTGGTGCTTCTTGTGGTCCAAGGCCATCCGCTTGCAGTGCCGTTTGACGCAGCAGCGGGTGATGTGACTTGGCAGTACAGAGGTGCCTCAAAGCGGACGGTGTTTAACATGTGTTGGAGATGAAGTAAAGTTAGGCTTTTCCCAAAGGAAAATCTGGAGGTGCAGGTCAAGTGTGCCCGAAAGCCATAAGATTCAATGGACATTGCCCGGCTTTGTCCACTTCGCTAAAGTTTGAGACGAGATTCAGGTTGGCTTGGCTGATGATGAGCAAGCTCCGACCCACCGCAGTGACTTGGCTATCCGTTGACACTTGGATGTGGTCAAGTGATGCTCCTCGCAAGTACAAACTTGCCATGACCCTAAACCCATCCCAAATCAGCACCGACACACTGGCAATGTCTTCAAGATGAGCAGCATACAAAATAGATAGACAGACTGTTTGCAGGATATGAAGGTTAACAAAATGTCAGCTGCAGGAGAAGCCGGGCACCTTCATCGTGAAGTCCTTGCCGGAACCACAGGCCGGCCACAAACATGATGTGCCAGAATGTGTCAGTTAGTTGATTTGGTTGGTGCTGCTCAAACCACAAGTCTGAGTTTGCACCAGAAAGAATTCCAAGATGACACTCCCAAATAGTTTTTGGTTGTTCAGTTGTGTGGAAGTATGCTCGGAATGCTCTTACGTTGATTGCAGGTCTCTAAAGATAAAGAACACAATTTTGATTCGGTGCCATAGGGCTTGATGTGGCAATTTGAATAGCGACACTGTGTGAGTTCGGAAACAGAAGGAGTAAAGCACCAAGACTTGGATGTTTCACATGGGCTTTATTGCTATTAGATTGGATGTCATCACTGCTAGGATGGAGGCCATCGCTACTAGGGTGGAGGCCATCGCTATTTGGAGTCAAACGGAACAATGCACCAAGACTCGCATGCCTTACTACTAGTAACAAGAAGCTACTACGGGATCCTGGCATCGCTACTAGGAGCAAGGACGCTACTAGGGGCTCCTGGCCTTACTACTAGCAACAAGAAGCTACTAGGAGCAAAGGGCCTTTCGGATGTGTTTTTCTTCACATCATCTCCGCGACGTGCTTCACGTAGGCCCGCCTGGCCCTTCCGCCGCCTGGCTGGACGGGTCGTCCTGATTGTGACGTGGATGTTCACCAAAATCAGGTCAGCGAGGTGGCTGTAGACTTTTTGGACATGACGAAGTAACATGTATATTATGCAGTAAGATAAGTCAGAGATGGCCCCAGCAAAAGGTCTAGTTTTTGCATGTTTTGCCTGGCAACAGCACTCGAAGCTTCACCATACAATGTACTTCCCAAAGATGCAGCGCCAGAGATTCACAAACTATTGAGCTCTCTCAAGAGGTTTGGTGAAAGCTCTTGTGAAGAGGTGTTGTTCCTTACCCTCCCAGTCACCTCTTGGCAAGTATCAAGGCGGCCTCTTTGAAGGATGTTGATCATGCAGTCACCAGCGCGTTATGCACAGTTTGTGGGTAGAGCCTGTCAGGCCTTTCATTATACTTCACTATATAATACACTATATATATACATACAAGTATTCCTAATTTGAGGTGCTTTGTGTCACCCAATACCTCCTGAACTTGAAGCCCAACTGTGTCTTGCTGTCACACTCGCATGTCCACCTAAGGAGCCCAGTGCAAGTGGTCACGTCAGTGGAAGCCATCGATGAGCCGCCGCAGGCAGAACGTTTCATCTAGTAACAAGTGCATCGCTACCTTGTAACAAGTGCATTACTACTAGTAGCAAATAGCTACTAGTAGCTTCTTGCTACTAGTAGCTTCTTGCTACTAGTAGCTTCTTGCTACTAGTAGTAGTGCCCTTGTCACTAGTAGCGATGCACTTGTTACTAGTAGACTAATCTGCAAGTTCATTCCAACAACCTTGGGATTTTCGTTTTTACTTCCGCGATTGAACACGACTTCGCGAGGTTTAGTAAATTCGAGAGGATATGCTGCCACGGCAGAACTAGATGGCCCTACACAACTGATAGATGCTGATAGCTGAGGAGTTGATTGGACCACCTTCAATCCATCCACCTTTTTCACTTGCATCTAGGCAGTGACCTTTGAGGTGGAACGTTCGCCCAAGGAGCGAGGGCAGCGAGGGCAGTGAGGGGCTGAGGGCGGCGAAACATGACCGAGAGTGTAAGGGACGGATAGGATCCGATAGGAAATGCCCATATGCCAGGGATCCTTTTCTGTTTCGTTGTCGAATAGCTGGCAGTGTCAGAGGTCCTTACTGTCACTATCACGTGAATCTTTGCTGAAGACTGGCTGGAAGTCGCCAGATGGGGATTTGGGGGATGCCTAGAGAAGATACTCAAGACACTGACTGATTCTATGAACCATTGGAGTGCCACGCAAAGCCTTAAAGCTTTGAGTATGGCAAGCATGAGTCATGAGTGTGTGCACACCCTATTGGCCCTATGAGTGTGCAATGACATGAGTCGGTGCACGTTGAAATGCATCTCACCCAGTTTCCAAGGATTTTAAGCATAGGGAAAGTAAACATCACTACTATCACACTATTAGGTTGGAGGCCATCGCTATTAGGGTCCTTGTTCGTAGTAGCTTCTTGTTCCTAGGTCAACGCACCTCACCCCCCAATGCCCAAGCCGGCGAGGACTCTCCCGAGTCGGCAGCCGCAGCAGCTGCCTGGCTCCAGGCGCTGCCCAGCTCGGGCTCCGTCGTCGGTTTGTTCGCGCAACGGCTTGAGCAATCAACATAACCTGGGACAAGCTGCAAAAACCCAGATATGTAATTCATGGTCCATCCGATTGTCTTTCTGTTGGATTACCACGGTCTAGAGCTTAGCAAGGTGCAGAGTCCGTGGTCTTCCAGCTCAAGTAGTCATGATCGTCGTCCATCCAACTGAGGTAGGCGTTTGATCTTCAGAAAATCACGTGTTTCTTTTGTAGATGGTCTGAAGAACACCCTGCAAGTGGTCTCCTATGGTCTACAATTGACATACATGTCGATACCAGCGATCTTGCCCCCTTCCGAATGCAGGCCTCAGAAGCACCGAGCCCCAGCAGGCGGAAATCGCGGGCGTCGGACCTTCCGAGCACCTCCGTTGATATGGTCCTTCTCGAGCACAGCGAGCGGTGAACAGTGGTGACGATAAATGCGGTTGCCCGTGTATATATATATATATATAGTTATATTTATATAGTTCTTTGAATTGGGCTAATGTGTATGAAATATATAAATATGAAAAATGGGGAGCAGGGGAGCTAGCTGCAGCTAGCTGCATATACAACCTATCTCAGATGTTCCTGCAAGTGATCAGTTTGACCAATACTGAGCCTTACTGAGCGTACTTAGGCTTGTAAGATGTTCTTGAAGCATTTCCGTCTTGCTGCCTCATAATATCCTCATAGTTTGTCAAACACGAGAAAGCCAAGTTGGAAATGTCCAACATGTTGACTAGGGGGTAGGCTGACAAAGGGTTGATGAGTTTCAAGAAGTAGAGGCTCAAGAGGCCATCGCTACTAGGGTGGAGGCCATCGCGATTAGGTTCCCTAAAGTCTTTGTTCTTAAAGTTCTCACGGAAGAGCACCAAACGCTACTAGGAGCAAAGGGCCTCGCTACTAGGAGCAAGGACGCTACTAGTAGCTCCTGGCCGTACTACTAGGAGCAATAAAGGTACTAGGGGCTCCTGGCCTTACTACTAGGAGCAAGGACGCTTCTAGGAGCAAGGGCATCGCTACTAGTAACAAGGGCATCGCTATTAGTAGCTAATTTGCTACTAGTAACAAGGTTCGCGGGAAGCACCAAACGCTTCCCCGCGTAAGACATCGCGAAGACTTTTCTCCCGTCGCCGACCGCAGGTTCCGGGTCACCACCAGCCCCACGCGGGCGAGTGAGCGATATACCCTGGCTTCGAAGGTGCAAGTCGGAATCATGGAAACATCATTTCAATTAAAGAACGGGAATTGAAATTTGAGACTCCTCTTTTAAGGAAATTGTTTAGTCCTGAATTTCAGGAAGTGTGTCAAGTTCTTCCGAAGAAGAATTGTATGTGGGATGGTTTCTGTTGGGTGCTGAAGTTACCACGGAAGTGGCTGGCTTGAGAAACCTGCAGGTATCAAGCATCCTGCAAAAGGGAATTTCGTTTGCGTGGAGAATTGATATGAGATGAGACAAGCAGGTTTGGATAGGTTTGGTGGAACTTAGTCTTGATAAGGGATTCAGCACTTGAATGCCAGCTGCCATGAAAAAAGATGAAAAAAGACAAGATCGTCTTTCTAAAAGGGATTTCAAGAGCACAATACTTTACCGGTAGTCCACACAGTGAGGTTTTCTTCCATGGAGACCATCTTCATTGATTTGGGTGAGCTGACTCTTGGTTTGGGTGGAGGCCATCGCTCTTAGGTTGGAGGCCATCGCTCTTAGGTTGGAGGCCATCGCTAGGTGTCGGCCCGAGCTCCTACCAGCAGGTACACCCGTGCGAGCAAAAGGCACGGGAGGGTATGTTCGATCCGGAGCCATGGTTAGAAAAGGTGCCAGACGGTGCTTCAGTCACCATAGCTGGCAAAGCTTGGTTTTATGACCACGACCGACAGGCTTTCCACTGCACATCGATGATGAAGAGCCAGAAGTTCTTGTTAGCTGGAGTGAAGCTTGCTGGAGACCGATTTTCGGTCATTGCGGCTTGCAAGCAAGGTTTGGAGGGACTGCCGCTCCTGGAGGCCAACCAATCCTCCATCCAGATACATGCAATGGCCAATAGTGCAACGGCCTCGGAAGTCATCGACATTTGCTCAGGATATGCTATCATGACTGCTGGATACCGATTCATTCAAAGCCGTGTTCGGTGCCATGTGGAGATCAACCCGACCTATGCGAACTGGTTGAAGGCTAAGCAGATGCCTGTCATACAAGGTGATGTCGATAGCCCGCAAGTCCTTCGAGACCTACTGGAATACACTACAACACCATGCATTGTTACTGGAGGTTTCTCTTGCCAGCCGTTTTCGGCCTTGGGAGACAGACGGCAACAGCTGGACCCTCGAGCACGGAGTTTCGAAGGTATGATCATGGTAGGCTATGTTCATCAGCCGTTAGCCCTTGTTCTGGAATGCACCAAAGAGGCCATGACCTCAGTCTGGGTTCAGGATACATTGAGGGCTTTCTGCAATAGCACTGGCTATCAGCTCCAGCAACAGATTTGCAGCCTACAAGATTTTTGGCCAGCAAAGCGAACGCGATGGTGGGCAGTGATCACACACCCACACTTCAAGATGCAAGAGCTTCGAAGTTTTCCTGCACTCGACTTCAAGCCAGCGTTCCGTCACCTTTTGCCGAAACTGCCTAGGTGGCCAGATAGCCATATCAAAGAGCTCTCACTGACCCCTGATGAGCTGGAGGTCTTTGCTGCACAACCCGGGGGACTGGGGAAGAACGCGATTTGCCCAACCAAACCATTGGCCACGGCCCTTCATGCTTGGGGATCACAGTTGCAGGCATGCGCCTGCGGGTGTCGGGCTGGTGGATTTTCCCCTCAGAGGATCGAAGACAAGGGATTGTTTGGGGCGCTCATTCCAACTGAAGGTTCCACCCTCGTTCGAGGACAAGACATTGCCAACATGAGACATGTTCATCCAGATGAAGTTGCGGTGTTGCACCTAGTCCCTACGGACCATCTTGAACATCCGGACACCAGACGACTCAGGTTAGATCTCACAGCTGTGGGCCAGATGGCCTCACCAGCTCAAGCACTTTGGCATGTGTCGCAAGTAGCGCAATCACTGGGCCATGCATTTGGTTCACATGTTCCACAGTCTTTGCCTGAGCAAGGACTTCTGCAGTTGAGCCTTGCCACCTTCGAAGCCAGGGACATGATGTTACATCCATTCACCCACACACGTGAGTCACTGCTCTTCCAGACGGCAGCGCTGGATAAGTTCGGAGTTAGATATTCATGTCCGCCGCAGCAAGCTGTTTCGATTTTGCCAGGCTCCAGTGCAGTAGAAGAAGCAGTTAGGGAAACGAATAAACGAAAGGCTGATGACACACAAGGTCCGGAGCACTCATGTCACGTGATGCCAGTCATCTCGCCCACGGGAGGCCTTGAGTTTTTCGCTAATAAGTCTAGACATCCGATCAGTGTCGAGCACTCACACCCATCAGGACATTCGTCGTTGCGGCCGCATTCGGGTAGGGACAGCCATGAACTGCGCGATGCCCACTCTCAAGTGTTTGAGATCCCTCGGTCTGAAGTCCAGGCCATTTCGACGAACGCCAACAATGACCTCATCCGAGGCAAGGGAAAAGGGGGGATTGGACCTGGTAGAGAAGCCACGTACGACTCTCGAATGCCACTGCAGTCCAAGGCAACAGGACCATCACAGCCAAGGGCCCCTGCCACGGAGTATGGTCCACACACCGAAGACACCGAGGCCCCAGAGTTTCCTGCTCCAACTGATGCAGAGAGAGCTTCGACCATCGAACATCAGCTCCTGCCGAAAGACCTGTTCCATATAGTAGTGCGCCGGTCGGATTGTGCCCCCAGCAGGATTCTGGTTAAGCCAGGCACCACCGTTGGCCAGCTGTCGCAGGCAGAAGCAGAAGCCGCATGCATGCCACAACCATTGGTCATCAAGACCATGACAGGGATCCCACATTCACTCCATAGCTTCCTGACGCCGGGAACTTGGTATGTGGTAGGAAACGGGGCTGTGCATGTCACGCCTAAGTGCTCACAAGTCCATGCCAACCAGATCACCACGTTGACATTGCAGGGGAAGAGTCGGTTCCAAGGTCTCCTCGAACAAGGGCCCCTGGTTGCGGTCGATGAAATGTGCTTTTATGTGAATCTCCTTCGCAACCAAGGACAGCCTGTTGCAGACCCAATTGTGCTTAATAGCCCCCAGGACCTCGATCAGACTCTTGCCACCTGGGCTCTCCAATGCCTACACGCGTATGATGTTGAGCCCTGCAAAAACATGTTCATGGTACCGGTTCTGTGCTCTAGCCATTGGAGCCCCATCGCACTGCACTTATCGCCCACGGCGCAGACACTGCTCGTCCCTCAGGAACTTCAGAAGTGCATCACGACGATCATCATTGATGCCATAGGACCGTATGAGCTCAGCTTCGAAACGTTTCTGTTGCCCTCAGAGTTTGCGGCCGATTGCGGGTTCCAAACCATCAGTTGGTTCTTCTCCCATTTCCTTGGAGAGAAGCTCCCCAAAGCCACCACTGCAGTTCAAGCCGACCAATGGAGGACTCCGTTTGCTCAGAGCATTTTGCCGTCCGACGCATCGTGCACCAAGGCCATCCGACTGGGAGGCATGCTGCAGCCGGAGCAACTGCTCCTGCAGTCAGTCCTGAAACAACATGGAGTACATCAAGATCGACTCAGCACATGTGCTACTACTCTCATGCAGCAACTTGGAGCGGAGGCCATCAACAAAGCTCTAGGTAGCTCTCAGCCATGGAAAGACCTGAAAGTCCTAGCTTCACAAGCATCGCCTCCGATTCGCATCGTTCTTGCATCCGAGATAGATGAAGCCATTAGAAGAGACTAGCTTCAGGCAAACCAGTTGGTACCAAGGCCAACAAGAAGCCCTCGCACAAAGGTCCGAAGCCGCCGATCATCCCAGCGGCTGAACAGATCAAACTGCCAGATGCGATTTTCGCACAAGCCGATGGCAAGAAGCTGTCCTCGATTCCGCTGCATAAGGTAGAGGCTCATGCCCAAGGGGTGGCCCTGTGCAATATTGGGGACGTGACACATTTCCTCAGCCTGACCACTCCGATTTCCACAGAGGGGGTCGCCCTGTTGATCCTCGACCACAATGATGACCGGCTGCCAGTCCAAGCAGAACGAATCCGAGTCCCTGCTATGTCGGCCACCACAGGAGAACCGATGTTAGTTTCGGCCGCCCTACTGCAGCTTGGGGGAAAAAGGGTGGTACGCCATGTCCCGACTGAGAGCTTTGCGCTAGAGGAAATCCAAACAAAAGTCCTGAAAGTCCTAGTCTACAAAGACGAATGGAATGGTCAGTGGACCGCGTTCATCAAGCATCCTGTCAAAGCCATTTTCGACCATACTCTCATGCAAGACCCAGCTTTCCCACAGGCCGAGCACATCATCGACGTATGGGACAGGCAGACATTGGATGCCAAAATGGCTCGCACACAGACTGACCAGGCGGAGATCTTTGCCTTCCTGATCAGGGTAACAGAAGGGTTTGCGGCAGCCGTTATGCCAAGTGCCGCAGTCGATGGCATCTATCTCGAACCACGGACCTTGGATGGTAGGAAGCCTGACCCAACCTACAGGGTCATTTGGATGCCTCGTCAGAATTTGGCTCAGGTCCGATTGGCGCGCAGTCAGACAGAAGCCAAGACCACCATCGCCAGGATGGGCAATCGCTTTGGCCTTCGAGTTGACAGACATCAAGCAGAACAGGTACATGTGCAGCATCGGCCAGACCTCATGTTCCTGGACGGCCATGAACTCAAGCCGTACAAGGTGGGACCTTTCCCTTATGGGTCCACCAAAGAATCCATCTCCAAAGGTTTCAAGCACCTGGGCTGGAACGCCCGCCCAGCGCAACCGATCTCACAGATGCAGGTCCAAGAAGGCATTTTTTGGCATGTCACGGCACCGACTGAGCCAACGCACTGGATCTACCAAATGAAGCATGGTGACATTTTGATTGCCAAGCTTGAGGATCAGAGAGAGACAGCTTTGCCGACCACAAACCATATCATTGCCTCCAGGAAGACAATTTCCACGCTGACCCAGCCACCGTCAGATCTCACTGCTGACCCGTGGCTGAAAGCGGATCCATGGCAAGCAGCTCAGCAGAGCCGGAAGCCGAATGCAGTACAGCCCCTGCCGACAGTCACGCAGGGCCAACTCGCAGCTCTTGAGT